GAGTGAAGATATTTGTGTTTTCCATCCGTTACTCTCATCTCTGGACTATATTCGCACTTTCCATCAGGCGCGGTGCAGTCATTTTGTCGAGTCACAATAAAAAAAAATAAAAAAAAAATCATATGGTATGTATATACAATGTCTTAAATTTAAAATAATGCTACACATGTGAGCCCTTCATTAGGGATAACAATAACAGCAGAGGTAGGCCGAGGTTTCAATTATTAATTAAAATTATTATTTATCAAATAATAATATAAAATAAAAAAAATATGTCATGTAATAAGAAAGAAATACGTCATATTATGAGTAGAATTATGTCACTTAAGAGCTCTCATGCCAGACAAGTTTTGACGTTGGCTCCGCCCAAATTTGTGAAACAAATATATGCCTGAAGTTCGCGTAACATGCGACAGGAGATGTTGAATTTTGCGCATTAAAAGTACCAAATTCGTTTTAGCGGAATATTTCTAAAACTAAAGGGATTAAAAAAAAATCCGTAGTGACAGTTTTCGATCATGCATAAATATAGTTAATTATCTAATTTTTGTCCTAATAACCTGTAGCATTTCGAGGGTGAATCGAAAAAATGTGAAAATTAGAGGTCATTTCGTGATTTTTATCTATCGAGGAAACTTTATTGTTTTATGTTTCTGATTAGTGTCTATGCTTGAATATATCGTGTAGTTACTCATACAATATTTTATTTTTAACTTTAAAGTGGATATACCCCTCTAAAATCAAATCGAAGATTAGGAATTTTTCCTCTGCTCCCTCTTAAAAGTTTGAAGTATGGAGCATTATCCTTCATTTTACACTATTTTTTATATTTTGCTGGTTTTTGTACTTCTTACTGTTTTTGTATGCAATAAAGAATATTTTTAATGTATTAGTATAGGGTATAGTTTCCGTGGCTTAGTTGGCATAGCGTCTGCCGCGGTTTGTTAGAGACGTTGCTTCGAATCCAGCCGGATCGACGGATTTTTTTCTAAATATACAATCTTCGTATTAATAATTACTACAACATACTGTTAGGTTCAATTCACAAGTAACGCTGTACTTTTGTGTACAACAGGACACTCTGGACGGCGACATGAAGTCCCTTCGCAAACTTCTTGAAGTCCAAAAGAACGACCTCAAAACGCACTATCAGAAACAGCTGGAAGATGCCGTTCTCGCCAAGTTGCAGGAGTTCCAGCAGCAGTTGGATATCGCCGAAAGAGAAATGGAGAACGACGCAAGAGCGAAAGAAGCGGCGATAGTCGATAGCTACACTAAACAAATTGCCAGGATTGAAGAACAGTAAGACCAAGTGATGTATTTAAAAGTGTTGTGTACATTAACGTGACAAACGACAGACGGCAGTGCCACAGACACAACACTTTTGCCTCGGATCACAGAATTGAAGCCGTAATATTTATTATCCACGATCAAAAACAGTATCTTAAAATATGATAAACGCCCAATATAATTTCTGTGTTTTGGACATCTCCACTACACTTATCTATTTACCTATAGCAGTAATGTCAGCATTACTGTGTTCCAGTTTAGAACGGTGCTGGTGAAATTACAGGCACATGGGACTTGTCTACTTATGTCTCAGGGCGACAGGCGCAGTGGCAGTGCCCCTCAGATTTTTGCGATTTAAAGCCCTGAGTGGCACTGCAACTGTTATTGACAGGCGGTGTAGTTTACCATCAGGTGCACGACTTGTTCGTCCCGTCGCTTGATATTATAAAAAAAAATACAACCTATTGTTGCTGAATGGTCAACATGCTGGTCTGCCACCGGTAACTAAGCGATCCTGCTCAGCAGACTCGCTAAAACTCTAAGATTGTATTCAGCAGTGGGGCGTATGATTTGATAATGTACGTTCTATTACAATGTCTGCAATCTGCATAAACTGTCTTCATTCTTTCTTTCAAAATTGTATTATTTTTTAACCGACTTCAAAAACAGGAGGAGGTCCTCAATTCGACTGTATGTATTCACTAGTTTGTTATAATTAACTGCCACCGTGGCCGAACGGTTACCATGCCGGACTGCCACGCAGAGGTACCGGATTCGATTACCGGACCGAAAGAAATTTTTGTATGGCCTACTTTTTTTTTCTTTTTTTATTGTGACTCGGCAAAATGACTGCACCGCGCTTGATGGAAAGTGCGAATACAGTCCAGAGATGAGAGTAACGGATGGAAAACACAAATATCTTCACTCCGTCACTATCATTTTGCCGGTCTGGCCAAATGCTTCTTCACACTACGTTTGAAGGACCCGATGTTATAGAGGGGAGGGAATACATGCGCCGAGAGTTGGTTCCACAATTTGATGGTTCGGCATAAAAACGAATTGCCAAACTTTTTAGTGCGGGACGGTATTGAACTGACCGTCCAACTGTGGCAACGCAGTCCGGCACGGGTGGTCCGCTGATGGAAAGGAGAGGAAGGGATAAGGTTGAATAACTTTTCAGAGCACTCACCGTGGTACAGGCGATAGAATACGCTAAGAGACGCTATATCTCAGCGAAGCTGTAACGACTCCGCATGCTCAGTTACATGAGGATCGTTGACAAGTTCATGTGTATTTCATAAATATATGTATTACAACTTTAGTTTGTCATGATAGAAATGCTTTTACACAAACCACCCCAATCCAAATGTAGGAAACCAATGAATAGATGATAATAAACCAAATAATGAACAAGATACTTTGAATGTTCACACATAATCGCAACATCTTGAACAACAAAGAATTTTGATGAAATAGCCTGACAAAGAGGCATCATTACAATACTTGCATAACAGTGTCACACATATGTCATCTAGCAGTTACGTTAATGATTCGGAACCTTGCTGGTTTCCTAAGTATGAGTTTTTGATGTTCTTCCATTTCATTATCTAAAATGACTACAGTTCTCACCATTCCTAGCTGCTAGAATGCCACCTGTCAGTGCACCGCTCGTGATTGAGTTCCAAGGGTCTTCTTTCTGCCGGAGGTATACTAGTGTACAGTCAATTGTGGAGAACATGCCACCCCAGACGGCAAAGTTCCCTGCTACAATAGGAGATCTCTCTTTCATAGCTGCTAAACTGCCAATCTAGAAGACAAAACTTCATGTTATTTCACTTTACAGAACACTAAATTATTCATGAAAACTTGATTTATGTACATTTATTATTGATTTGCTGCAACATGGGCCAGGCACATTTGTGATTGGAATGTGTTATGATATGCCTTTTTAGGCAGGTATTTAAACACAACAAAGTCTGTACTGTTGCTTAAACAATCAATTTCTGTTTTTGATTCCCTCAAAGGCACATTAGACAAAAACAAACCACCAGATGGTGGATATTGATTAGGCAAGTAATTACATTTTGACGCACCATTTGATTTAATTTGATTGATTGTCAATTAAGCTCAATTCAGCTTCATTAAATGCCGCCATCCAGTTCAGTCTAGGCCATTAGTTAAAAGGTGGATTAAATCATTTAAATGTAATCGTGTATGTATAAAGTACCTATCTATTAGTAAGTAAATAGACAATTCATGTATACATTCAAGGGTGGACAGTGACGAATGGCAACACATATGTATATCATATTTTATTCTCATAATCGTGCAATTTGTATTATTATAGTCATTGTGATTTGTTTGTCACAGACACGAGTATACATTGCACTACGTAGCGCTCACGCTGCACAACGCTAGCCAGTAAGTTGCGTGCAAAGACAATATCTGCCCTTATAACTGCCTCAGTGGCAGTGTTGGGCGTTAATCAATTAAATTTCAATCAGAAATTCAATCAGACCAAAAAATCAATTCAATTGAAATCAATTGCAATTAAATCAATTCCGACACGTCGCAATTGATTTGAAAAAATCAATAAATGCGATTGATTTCAATTGAATTGATATTTTTTAGTTATTCTAAGAAACAATTGAAACTAACAATTAAAACCAAAACTACCGAATAAAAGTGTCATTAACAAAAAAAAGAATATGGGTTAAGGGGTCAGTTGGGGTTCGGGTCGGTTAGGAATCGGTTAGGGGGTGGATTAGGGGCAGTGTTGGGCAAAATTTCATTGTTCTGGCAATTAAAGATTGACAATTAATTAATGGTCAACTGCGAAACAACTATTAACGATTGATCAATTGTTAGTTGCGAGAACCGCAATTCATTAATTGCGTATATCTACAATTAACAATTAATCAATTTCCAATGTTTTTGATTAACTATTAAAACTGACAATTATGATAAATTTATACATGGGGGTATGTTAAGGGATGGGTTAGGGGGTGGGGTAGGGTTTGGGTTGGGGGTTAGGGATGAGTTTGGGCGTGTGTTAGGGGTGGGTCGGGGGTTAGGGTCGAGTTAGGGGGTCGGTTAAGGGGTCGGTTAGGAGATCGGTCAGGGGGTTTGTCAGGGATTGGTCAGAGCGTCGATCAGGGGGTCAGTTAAATGGGTGAGTTAGGGAACCCCTGACCGACTCCCTGGTCGTTTAGGGGGTGGGTAAGGTGGTAGGTTCCCTAACCTAACCTAACCCCTCACCCCTGTGAGGGGTTAGGTCACTCACCCGATCAGCCACCCCTGACCCACCCTCTAGCTCACCACTAACCCGATCACCAACCTACCCCCTAACCCACCCCCGAACTCACTTAACCCATCGTGTCCGCCATCTTAGATTTACAAATAAATTCTATATTTGTAATGAGCACCCCCAAATACCTCGAATACGATACCCAACTTGCCATTATGTGAATAATTGTGCCCGCCATCTTACCTCCTAACCCACCCCTAACCCCGCCAAACCCAAACCCTAACCCAACCCCAATCCACCATCCAACCCACCCTCCGACCTACCCCTAACCCAAACCCTAACTCATTATGGAGTGCCTCCAGACCAGTGATAAAGACAATACACTAAATTAGAATGATTTCTAATTTTTTGGGCCAATACCTTCCCCCACTACACGTGTATTGAATTGCCTATTGGCCTATTGTGAATGTACATTTTGAGCCACTCCACTAGTTTGCCTTGCTGTTTAGTAAAGGATCTCACGGAAACTGACTATAAAATTGGGTTATGTGTAAATGGGCTTTACGAATTTCGCACTTTCTACTAGGCTGGCTTTGTGGTATGGCTTGTCTATTGGCCCTGTGTAACTGTACATGGGCCATTAACACATTCCCTGTGCATGTATGTGATGCATATCGAAGTCCAAACAACATTTCAGTGCATCACATATCAAGCATGGCCCTTTATAAATATAAACACTAAATGAAATTTGCACGTATGAGCTAGATCATCTTTATTTACTTGCACAAATGGACCACAAAAATGTGATAATCAGCATGTGGTACTGGATGACTTTTTAACCAATGTTGCCAGAGTTTATTGACAGTTATCACTGTCAAACTAAAATACAAAAAGTAATTATGTTATTGATTATTCTATCCATAAATGTATTAACTAAAACATCTGTGAAGATAACTCTAAATGTGCATGAATTCCATGTGATGTATTAAGCATGTGCATGCACCATATAATGTGGCACCAAGTAAAGAACTCATATGTGCGTGTATTACATGTGGGGCATTTGGGAAAATCGAGAAAATAGGAAGGGGGTTTATGGAAATGATTTTTCCATCCATAAATGTGTTAATATACATATACCAAATCCAACATATTTACAAAACAAAAAAATTACACGTGAGGGGTCAATTTCTGATTTCCAGTTACACAGGGAACGTGCACAGCTACTCCTTACCAATTTCCGATTGAATCCTATAGGTGCATTTCTGAAGCCCTTTATCGAATGGAATATCCCGCCACCGATGGCCCCCATTATAAATGCACCGCCAGAGTCGTCCAGAATACGCCACGGGCAAGGTTCTCTTGAATATTCATCCATATTCTATTGATTTATGTGGTCCTGCAAAAGTTAGGTAACAATAATCTAACCTCAAAATATCTCGACTTTACCAAACAATAATGAATTTTAATCATTGGTGTAACTTACTAACTCTTATGTAAATTTTATAATAAACACTTGTTAAGTTCGCGAAGCTTTTATTTTGTGGTTTGATGAAATTTTTATGAAACAGTCACTTGCACCATGTTACTCTCTGCCAGTATTTTTTTTTAAAGGCCGTTTCTTTTCCTTTTCCTTGCGCGAAATGTTCGCGCAAAAGACTACAACATAAAGTGGTACTATGATAATACGTAAAAAGGAAAGAGATATAATTTTTGTTCTCAGTTGAAATCATATTGAAACACATAACAAAAATAATTCAAAAATAGCGAAACGTCTATGGTATGTCAATTCTTTCCATAATCAGTAAAGTGGTTTGTGATCATTATTCATTTTGCTTTGCACAGGAGTTAACTCTTATTAGTTTGTGACAGGAGTTATAAGCGTTTCGTTGCCTTATCGAAGACGTCATGATGGAATATTTTAAATAATTCTTTATAAAAGTTCAAAATGACCATCCACAATTTGTATATTTTCGATAGATATGGCACTCTTCTTTACTACGGAGAGTGGAATAGATCAAAACAAGCAGGAATGTCTCGTGAAGAGGTAAGCAGAACACCGCCCCTAATACTCGTTTCTAAATGTTCATTTCATTTCATTTCTTTCTCTGTTTGTGAGGTATTTTGAAAACATTCCTTAAAATAACTTTAATTGTATTCGTTTGATTTCAGGAAGGAAAACTAATGTATGGTATGCTGTTCTCCATCAAGTCTTTTGTGGCCAAAATTTCACCTCTAGATCCAAGAGAAGGTTTCCTTTGCTACAAAACTTCGAAATACACACTACACTGCTTAGAGACACCTTCGGGACTCAAATTTGTTATGAACACAGACAACCAAGCTCAAGGTGTTAGAGATTTATTGAAAAAGATCTATGCTGAGATTTATGTAAAATACGCTATGAGAAATCCTTTGTGCACAATTGGAGAACCGATCACAAGTGAGCTTTTTAGAAATAAACTTGATGCTTTTATTAAACAGACTACGATTCATGCTGTTCGAGCATCCTGATAAGATTATAACTAAACAGCTTGCTAAACAGATGTTTATAATTAAGTTGGAACTGAATGAAATAAAAAAGTAAAATTAAATTTCCTACTAGAACTAATTTTATTAACTTATGTAAATATCTTTAATTTTTATAGTGCTAGAAAAACTACGATGTTTTTAAAAGTAAGTAAATACTAAGTTATTAAAGAAGTAAACTTAATTTGTGTGTATTCATCTCTTTATTTATTTTTAAGGTTACAATTTGTGCGACAAAAATTTCATATTATTCTTAATTTATTGCAAGTCTTGATTTTCTTTTATTTTCAAATATACAGGTATTAGTAACTCGATACATTCCTTTTAAGGGGTGAAAGTAGACCTAATTTGTAGCAAGTTAAGTCAAGTTATACCCTGTCCGAAAATTAGTAGTTTCAAAGATATTGACGACTTAGTTTTTTTTTAAAAATCACGATTCTCAGCTTTGTTATATTTTTGGAATTTAATTATATTACACTTGATTTTATGGTTAAATAAGGTTTAGAGGGAAAATGTTAAAGAAATGTTGACACTTGACAATCTGTAACGTTTATTACCTTAAAGTACAAACTCTTAACTAAGTTATTCTAAATTTTATACATTTATTGGAAGTCCTGCTCAAAATGGGAACCTCGGTTCCTAATACACGCTCTTAATCTTCTGCGTACTTCACTTGTCGTTACTCGCGATGTTATGATTGTTCTTATTAGTTCAGCTGCGTCAATTATTCTCTGCCTTAGCTCATCTAATGAATTTACGGGCATTTCATACATCAAACTTTTCATATGCCCCCATAAATAAAAATCGCAGTGTCAAATCTGGGCACCGTGCTGTCTAAGGAATCGGCCCGCCTCGACCAATCCAACGGCCTGGATATTTCGTGTCCAGCCATAGTCGCACACCTAGGCGGAAGTGAGCTGGGCAGCCATCATGCTGGTAAATCAGATTTAAAAATGTTCTAATGGGTATATCTTCTAACAATACAGAAAAATTATCCCTCAAGAAATTTTCGTACATCTCTCCATTTAAATGGTCAGGGAAAAAGTAAGGCCCGATTAAATGTCTGCCAATGATTCCCATCCAGACGTTAAGGGAAAACGTCTCGGGTTCCAAAAATGTGCATTGTGGAAATTTGTGATTCCGTCGCGATCAAACTTGGATTCGTCTGTCCATAATATTCTTGACAAAAAATTTGGGTTTTCCAGATCGGCATTAATCATGAAACGGCAATAATCTAACTGGCTCTCCTTCCTCCAATCCTTGCACAGGAGTGTAATCGTACGGGTACAGGCCAGCGGTAAGAACAGTCCAATCACCCTGTTTATTTATTGGCATACATAATAAGAAGTGCAATATGCAGGATCTAAAACAAAAGACGTATTAACAACCAAACTATTCAAGGGAGAGAAAAATGGTGGGTTTTCGCAGTTAGATACAGTTTTTACACAAATTAATTTTTGTTTGGTTCGGTTTGAGTTTCAATAATAACTATTATTGTTACTTGATGGTTCTATAGCCAACGCTCAATAAATAAATAATAATATATCCAATTTTATATTATGTCGTAAGAAACACTATCGAAGACATTTAATTCTTGTAATTTTGTAATGGAATACAAGAAAGAGATTACTCTCAGTCTAGGCTGTATGGCACATTAGTGCCTTTGCCTTTTCCAATGGAAAAACAGTACCAAAAAAACACCAAACTATTTAATTCGAGTGGATAGCCATACGCGGAAGACTACATAACGCTATCTTACTCTAACATAGCAATCTTAAAAAATTAAGTGCGTCATTTTGTTTGTCTTTTTCAAAAGTTTTCAAACATTGTGAGCCGCGAATCTGTGTTTTTGGCAATTAAGAAACTTGTTCACAAAACGGGTAATCGTCATGGTTAAACTCGGAGGTTATACGAATAATATCAGGGCTTTATGGTATTTGTAGATTTTTTTATATGGAATATTCTGGAATCAGCTGTTTGCCTATTTTGATCGGAGTATACCGGCGGCGATGAGACGAGAGTGGTTTTCAGATAACCTCCAAAAATTGTCCCTTTCAATAACTTTTATGTTATTACATGAATGCTAAGCATTATTTATTTAATATGATTGCTTGCTTACTTAGTCTGTGTTATACATAAAAAGACTACTTTACTACGTCACAGTAATAAATAAAAATTAAAAACGTGGGCAATTTCTCATTCATGGGAATGAGAAATTGCCCACGTTTTTAATTTATAATTTTAAGAAAAGAAGAAAAAAAATTAAACGTCGTAGAAATCGCAATAGGATAAACTCTAATAACTTAAACGTCGAATACATACCGTAACTTTCCAATTTATTTTAAACAAACATGTTTTCTTGGGAATACAAAATGTGTTTCAATTTTCTTATCATTAGTGTCAATACAACTAAAAGTCTCCTAATAACATAAGTTCATACCGCATCACCTTCACCCTTCGCACACGTGAGAAGGGGCTCCTGTCGGATTTGAGTGTACACAGTGAAGTAACCTGTGCATCTCCGTTTTAGCAAAAAAAACGAGTTAAATACCAATTTCAGCGCTAGTAACTAAATCGTTCTCATTCATGTCTCTAACTGCCTCCGTGGCCTAACGGATACCATGCCGGACTGCCACGCAGAGGTCCCAGGTTCGATTCCCGGGACGAGAGAAATAGTTGTATGGCCTACAATTATTTCTCTCGTGAGTTTGGATGTAATTTGTGGTTGTCTATGTGTGTGTCCATGGCACCCGCGACACAGGGTTTCCCTAGTGCGGGGCTATGTTGAGTGTGTGCGTTATTTATTTATTTATTATTTATTTATGTAAAGCAATCTATCTAAATAAGTACCTATTAAGTTATAGTTTTATAAACTTTATTGTATATCAATTAGACAAAGGGAACTTTAAAATCCATGCATTTTTATAACGGTCCAGCATATTTTACACACTTCACAATTAAAAATGTATCCAAATATCATTATTGTCGCTCTCATTTTTGTCTACTTTTAAGTCAAATAGTCATTTTAAGCCAAACATTTACTTGAACTATGACAATTAGATGGTGATAGTGTTGATGATGACGGTGGTGACGATGATGATAGTGGTGATAATGACGATGATGATTGTAGTGATGAAGACGATGATTGTTATGATGATGTGAATGGTAATGATGCTGATGATAATGGTGATCATGATGATGATGTTGATGGTGGTGATGATAATATATTGATGTACAAGAAAGTTTATATGACATTAACAAAATACTTACTTAGATTTATTTATTAATTACATACAGATAGATAAATGGTCTTACACGGATGAGAAAGGTTTTGATACAAGAAGTTATATTAAAATATTTGTTGCATGTTAAATGTTTTTTTGTGAACGATAAAAAAAGTGTTGTAATAATAATTTCTCATTACTGTGCCGTCTTTCTCATTTATGTTTATGAGAAAATCATTCGTGTTACTGCAATCTGATTCGTGTGACCTAAAATATCGATTTTTATTTAACTTACATATTTCTGTGATTTTGTAATTATTAACATTGCTTGAACTTATTTGTACATTTAGGACCTTAAAACCAAACGAAAAAAGGGTTTTACAAAAATCACTCAAAAAGTGCCATTGAAATTCGGAAAGTGAAATTCACCCACGAGTTGTATTTGTATCAACTCGAGTTACTCGAATTGACTTGACTTCAACCTCGAGTTGCAACTCGAGTTAACTCGACTCGGTGTTTGTCAGAGCAACCGCGAGTCGCGAGTAGAACTCGAACCGACAATTCACCGAGTTGGACACGATTGTGAGTATAGTGTTCTGTGGACACGATCGGCCGGCCGAAGGTCACCGAACCAACCGAGCTAGCTCGAGTTCACAAAGTGTAGCTCGAGTTGACTCGTTGTGGGAGTAACTCGTTTCGCCCATCGCTTGCAACTCGAGCGTGCTCTGAAGGTCACCAACGCGTTGTATGAATGAAGTATTCGGTTCGGCGGCGGGCGGGGCGGGTCAACCGAGTTAGCTCGAATTCTTGAAAAAGTAACTCGAGTTTACTCGTTAGTAGGAGTTTAAACGTGCAGTTAGGGTAATTTACAATCTGGGCCCCAAAGTATCTTTGAGAGATAAGTTTAAAGAAATTAACATTCTTACATTAGTCTCACAGTACATTTATGAAAATGTAATTTATGTTAAAAGGAATAGTAATTTCTTTATGAAAAATAGTGACAGACATAACATTAATACGAGGAATAAAAATAAACTAGCTTTTCTTGATAGTCGTCTTTACAATGTCAAAAAAATCATTTAAGGGGCAATGTATACGCTTCTATAACAAGATTCCGGTTGATATACAAAATTGTGAAACAAAAATTTTGTACTAAAGGTTATTATACAACTTATGCGTACTTGGATGACAAAAATCCGTGGTAGTAACCCGTTTAGCTCATGGATGTCGTCTCGATCTCTGATGTTTAAATAAAAAAAAATATATATTGTAAATGTTGAATGTGTACAAATGTTATTTACAAAGAGCAACCCCTAGAGTTTCTTGCTCATTCTTCTCAGGAGAATCTGCGGTTACGAATAAGCGGTAGAGTTTAACCATTGTGACGATTTCAAGTGTAATAATGCTTACCTATGAAATAAAGATTATTTCGAATTTTAATTTTAATTTGAGTAACCCGAGTTAACCGATTTAAGGACTATCCACACACATCAGGGCCGTGTCCGGGATGTGGACGGGGCGTGCAAGTTTGTATGCACTGCGGGCCCGTCCCGGCGCCGGCCCGGACACGGAAATGGGTTATAACGAGTTCATACAAAATGTACGCTACGTATTTTTTGAGCCCCTGACACGGAACACTGCCCGTCCACGTCCCGGGCACGGCCCGGATATGTGTGGATAGACCTTTAATGAATCGCGCATCGCTGGTATTACCAGTTGCCATATTTTGCAACAAGCCAGTAAGCTTGCCAATGCCAACATTGCATTGCCAACGAATGACTGCAAAGGGGACTATAGTAAATTGTACAGCATTCTTAAAATATTACCTGCGGATTTGAAACCAAACTACCAAATCGTAATTGATAATTATTTTAATGACAAATTTAAAATACCAATATATTGTATAACAAATATAGGACTAGGAGGGTTCGTGAAGGAAAGTTTGTGCAACCTCGGACTGTCAATTATTACGGACGAAGGCTAAACAAATATCTGGTACCACATATTTTTAATAATATAGGTTTCCTTAGGAAAAATCCAGTAAGTAGTGTTCTAATTTTAAAATCTAAATTAAAAAATATATTATTAGGATAGTTAGTAGAAGTTAAGTCTAAGTTTAGTTATATTAATTATATTAGTTGTTGTTGTTTTTATTGTGCGCTATTAATTCATTAATTAAGAATTAACATATAATGTGTGAGAGCGTGCACGCCAACAAACTGTTTCCAGTTTGGCGGGAGATGTACTGTTGTAAATGTATAAACTTTTTTTGAATAAATGAATTTAAAAAAAAAAATGAAAGCCTTCATTAGCCTTCGCCTTCGTCAAAACTAGGAAGTAAAAAGTGTTCATAGATACAAATAGCAATAAAATTATTATTAAGGTCTTTAAGTAAGTATTAAAAAATACTATAAAGAAGATATAATCTTGGATTAAAACCTGTGTTTACAGGTCATATAAAAAGAAAATTAAAGTTGTTTAGCAAGTGTTTAGCAACAACGGCAGAAACGGACGCTCGATGCATTTATTTTAAATTTTCTTAAGATATCCGTCACAGTTTCACGTAAAACAATTGTACTTGGTTTCTAGTTTATTTCGTCGTATAATGGCGTCAGTTTCCTGCCTGCGAATAAAGTGTAGCCGCTGGGATGAGTGAGACGGACGACACCGACGTTTTGTTGCTGATTCCCCCGGATTTCTTCCTCGTCCACACTTCGGGCTCCGACGATTCTATCCTAGAATCCTCTAGAACAGTTGTCCATAAACCTCCATCGTGCACGGCCCAAGCTATCGGCAAGTTAGTGGACCAAGTGCACTCGCTGGAATCTAGGTTAGAAAGCTTGGAAATAAACTCGACAATCACTGATTCTAGTATAGGCAGCATTCCAAGACGAAAGAATTGGGAGACCGAAAGCTACTGCAATAGTCTCGATCGAAAGTGCTACACTTTTCCTCGTAGACGTCGTCGGAAAGTCTCTAAAAGAGAACGGCGGCTGGATTTGTCTCTTACCAGCTTTGATTCCAGCAGTACTAGAAAAACTGTCCCGCCATTGCCTTTAAAAGACATCGAACTTGCGTGTTTAGGCACTAGGCGTGACGCTATTCATGATTCGCCAAGTATGGACGGAGACGTGAGCAGTATTATTTCAACTCCAAACAAAAAGAATGACAAACTTCTTCTGCATGAAATAGACGAATTTCTTACCAAAGTTGATGCTTACGAGACACCTGGTACAAAATACAAAGAGTCTGATACAACATTAAGCTCAGAGAATGTGATAAAAGCTACAGGAGACTATATATCTCATAAATTGGATAGAAGTAATGCAGAAGAAATTAAATTGCCCAGTGGGCGCACTGTATCAAGTGCTATTTTGGATAAATATATTTATTTGGTCAAAAGCAACCCACAATCAGCTACAGAGAAACCTGAACCTTCAACAAGTAGATCTAAACTCCAATATGAAGAACCTGTACCTAATCGTTCACTGGAAATGCCAAAACCACCAGATTTATCAAAATATGTTCAAGAATCAAAATCCCCAAGCATACGAAGACTAAACTTCTCAGAGAATAAAGACATACAACCAACTTCCACTCCCAAAAAACCTTTAAGTTCTACTGTTAACTATATTGATGTATTTAAACCGTCATCAAATAAAATCTACGAGAGAGCTACAAAAGTCCTAGAACAGTACAAGTCTCAAAATTCAAGTAGATATACTCAGAATATGGACAGTTATGTGTCTAAAGATGAATTTAAAATGCCTCAGATGAGACCATTCACAGAAGGTAAAGATATATTGAAAAATAAGCTCATAGATACAATTGATACAGATCTGTTAAGTTTGAGTGACTTGTGGGGGGAGAAGGAAAAAGGAGACAAAGGGGATAGCATCAAATTGGAGGAAGAAAGATTGAAGAGGGAGGTATGTAACAATAATTTTAATCATTATTATTATGCTTTATTGATTCTCTTTTTTAAATACAGAGCTTGTAAGGGGGTAATTTACCCACTTAATGTTCTTTCCCACAGCATTGTGAATCAATGATCCAACAACTTCAAAAGAAAATCCTAGACCAACAAGAGAAGTTAGCAGTGGCAATCAAGGTGGATAAAGCAAAGGATGTTGCAATATCAAAGTTGCGGGAAGCATGGCTCCGACTAACGGGGAACTTGGATAAGGTGGAGGAACGACACCGTGCTGGACTGGAAAAGATGATGGCTGAAGTGGATAACTTTAAAATGGTCGCTACTGAAGCTCAGAGGGTAACATTCTACAAAATACTCGCACAATTTTTACTTAGTGCGTAATACATGGAATAAACTGAAAATCAATATAATTTTCAATCATGATAATACATTGTACATCAATCTCTTTTGATCCACATTAAAGTATCACAATTACTATTCTGGCTAGGGGTGTCCACTTAGAAAATACATCGAAGTCTTCATTCGATGTAAAACATCGAAACCTTGCATTGACTTTTTCAATGCATCGCTTAAAAACATCAATGTTTTTTTCAACATCGAATACTGTTTTGTTTTTCTTAGCTTAACAGTGAATGCAGAGTAACACTATATCAATAGAGTGGTGGTGCTGTTGTGCTGTAGTGATGTTATGATATTGTGCGTTAGTTTAGTAGTACTGGTCAAGAGAAGCCAGGAACTTAAAAGAACATAGTATTGCATCGGTAAGACATACATTTATAAGTGAAAAAATGCAAATTAATAGAAATGTTTTTATGCAAGAACAATTCCTTATAGGAATGTTTTTTGTGATTAGGTAAATTGTCTAAAATAGACAAATAAGTTCGATACATATTCAATTATTCATTCACAGATGAATGAAATAAGCTAGGATTATAAATACAAGTAAAACAAACACTAAATGACTTACAATATTAAATTGAAGCACAGAGACACGCAGAATTAGTGTTTTCTATGATGTTTTTATTATATATAAATTATTTCAATATTAATTCAATGTTTTTATTAAAAAATATTGATGCTTCGAATAGAATTTCTTGTCAAAACATCTAATCAATCCAATGTATCGTACGATATACATCGAATGGATTCGATACATCGACGTTCAACGAATATCCCTAATTCTGGCAAATTCTAAACTGTCATTCATCTAACATTCATATAACACACTTTCTTTTTTTATAGAAAACAAATCACTTTGAAACGGAACTCTACAAAGCGCTAGATCTAGCTCATGACTACCAAGACAAATGTAAACAGCTTACGAATGAAATGAAACAGGTTCAGGAAAACACCGCAAAAGTCTTACAGAGTAAAGATGAAGTTATAGCCCGCAAAGATCACGAGATTGAAACGTTGAAAGATAACTATGAAACCGTGATGCGGCTTAATAAACAGAGCACAGATTGTGTTAAGAATTTGGAAGACAATATAGAAAGAGTAAGTTTCCAATTAATTTTAATTATATATAGAGACATTCTGAACATCAAACCTATAAATCTTTGTCAATATGTATTTCTTAATATTTTGTTGTAGTATTGTTGTAAGGTACGTAAAATAGGCGCTGTCAAACGTAGGCACGTAAGTGTCACAGCAGGGTTTTATATGAATTATATGAAACTATTTCCATATTATTTATATGAAACTATTTTTGTGTGGATTTCATATTAATTATATGAAATCCTCTTTCGAAAATAATGTACACATACACCACACAAACACAATCGCAAAACACTTCACCACACGCATGAAGGCCAATCATTGTTGTTTATTTTTTTATTTTCTTTTTTTTATACTATCTTTTTTAATTATTTAGTTTACTTTAAGGTTATTATTATCATACCATTATACAATAGGAAATCTCTTGTGATTGTGCTTATTGGGAAGAATCTGACTTCTAAAATACAGTATCATACTAGTTTGGAGGTCAGAGCATCACGATTTTGTAATACTTAATTTATTTGATAAATGAAGATTATTATTATTATGAAAATAGTTTCGTATGATTAATATGAAAATAGTTTCATATAATTAATATGAAATCCACCACTATATGTGTTGGCGTTACTTCACTCAGCGACTAGCTTACTGTGATAGTGTCCTATGTCGGCAACGAAAACTGTCTAGTGTTTTGTAACCAAAATTATTTAGTGTTTTACAAGGGTGCTTGAAAAATGCTTCATCAAGTGAAATGTAAAGATGATTCACAGGAAAGAAATGAACATGAGCAAACAAAAGCTCGTCTCTGCGAGCTAAACCGCCGGTTGCAGTCGGCAACCGATGAAGCGGCTTTGGCGCAGCAAGAGCGAGGACTACTCAAAGAAAAAGTGAATGAAGAACGGTCCAGGGCGAATTTGCTGGAACGACAACTTGGTGAGAAGCAGAACCAAGTTAGTGAGCTGTTGAAGAAATGTGTAAGTACTCAATACTCAACACATTTATTGCATTCTTCGCTCCTTAAAAATTCGTCCTTAAAAGGTGTGCGGCGGAGTTGTCTCCCGTACTGACGCGCTTATACCGCCTCTCATACCAATCTGGTAACGTGCCCCTAGCTTGGAGGGAGGCCAACGTGCAACCTATCCCCAAGAAAGGAGATCGGTCTGATCCGGCAAACTATCGCCCAATAGCTGTCACTTCAGTGCTCTGCAAAGTGATGGAGCGGATTCTAAATATCCAGATAATCTGGAACGTCACTCCATTCTTAATGATCGACAGTACGGGTTTCGGCCGAACCGATCAACGGGTGACGTTCTAGCGTATCTAATGCATCTCTGGGGTGAAGCTATCGACAAACAGGGCGAAACCTTAGCGATAAGTCTGGATATTGCTAAGGCCTTTGATCGGGTCTGGCACCGTGGTCTCCTCTCCAAGCTTCCGGCATATGGTCTTCCCGGCCGCCTTTGTGAGTGGATCTCCGGCTTTCTGCGCGAGCGAAGATTGCGTGTCCTTGTTGACGGAGGCACTTCGCGGCTCGTGACAGTTAATGCTGGGGTGCCACAGGGCTCCGTGCTGTCGCCCACGCTGTTCCTTCTGCATATCAATGACTTGTTGCCTTTTGGCAACATTCATTGCTATGCAGATGATAGCACAGTGCACGGTTGCTATTATAAGCAATCGTCAAGCACCCGGGAGGACCCTGAGAGAAACCGGGAAAAACTTGTCGATGAGCTCAACCATGTTTTGGAACATATATCGTCGTGGGGCTCCCGAAACTTGGTTGAGTTCAACGCCAAGAAAACCCAGGTATGCGCGTTCAGCTCCAAAAAATCCCCATTCCTTCCACTTCCCCATCTTCAGGGTACAACGCTGACGCTGCAGGACAAGCTCAGCCTACTGGGGATGAGCATCCGGAAGGACATGAGCAACAAAGATTATATCGAGAGCGTCATCTGTACCGCGTCGCGCAAGCTTGGCATCCTGAACAAGGTGCACCGATTTTTTACTCCAGAGCTGCGATACCTGTTATATAAAGCTCAGGTCCGAAGCAGCATGGAGTACTGTTCGCACCTTTGGGACGGCTCTGCCAAGTACTTGCTCGATGCCCTAGATGGACTGCAGCGCTATGCCTTCCGTGTTGTCAACGATCCTCATGTAACTGAGCATGCGGAGTCGTTACAGCTTCGCAGAGATATAGCGTCTCTTAGCGTATTCTATCGCCTGTACCACGGTGAGTGCTCTGAAGAGTTATTCAACCTTATCCCTTCCTCTCCTTTCCATCAGCGGACCACCCGTGCCGGACTGCGTTGTCACAGTTGGACGGTCAGTTCAATACCGTCCCGCACTAAAAAGTTTGGCAATTCGTTTTTATGCCGAACCATCAAATTGTGGAACCAACTCCCGGCGCATGTATTCCCTCCCCTCTATAACATCGGGTCCTTCAAACGTAGTGTGAAGAAGCATTTGGCCAGACCGGCAAAATGATAGTGACGGAGTGAAGATATTTGTGTTTTCCATCCGTTACTCTCATCTCTGGACT